ACTGGGATTTACTAAAAATAGAGAAACGGAGAAGGAATGGCAAGGATTCCTATTCAGAAATAATAGACATTTATAATTTCTTATAAAAAGGATAGCAAACGTAACTTAACGCTGTGATTCACAGTTTTCTTTGTTTCAGAAGATTATGGTTCAGCCATTTTAATTTAAACAAGATTTGGCCTGTGATGCTTTATCCTGAGCTGAAAATGTGCGCTTTAGGCTGGGTAACAGGGACCACTGGAACATGCCATGGTGCTGGTGAATGTTCCAGCTGAGGAATTGGAGTCTAAAGCTCTTGGTTAAGCCTTTGCTTTGAAGTTGCTAGAATTTGGAAATGCCTCTGTGCTTGAGGCTAGGTAATTCTCTCCTTTATTCTGGATATTCTTAGGAGAAAAGAATACAACAAGTGGGGGATTGACAGAGGGTAATCTTGCTCTTTGAACAGGAGTAGGAACTGAATGGTTGGAAATGGTAGATGAAAAAGCTTAACTTTCTCTGACCCCAAATATTTACACTGAGGGTTATCATCTAAAGGCCACTAGATGAATGATTAGGTAACCAGATATTGGTTTGTTTTGATGAGATCATGGCAGATTTAAAGCAAATACAGTTCAAAGGGCGAAATACCTATTTTCAGCAACATATTAGGGAGGGACAAGCCTCTTTTCTCCTCTTCTGTTTAGTTTCTTTTTTTTTTTTTGAGAACAGAGCTATTTGTTTCAATGTGTTATAATGTATCACTGTTGGCTGCAGTGTATTTTTAGGATGGATTTTTTTATCCTGTTTGGCGGTTTCACCCACCATTTCATGTAGGTTGTTTGCTGGTGACTTAAACTGATGTTTCAGGAGGAGCTGCCTGAGGCCTTTAGGAACCTCAGTGGGGTGCTGAGCTAAACCAGCAGCACTAACCATATGGGACACCTTACAAATTCCAGGGATTGGGGTGTCTTTCACCTCATGGCTTGCAGTCTAAGAAACCCTTCTGTGCTGCCTGCTTGCCCTGCTGTAAATGTTTACACTGCCAGTCACAGAGGATGGGTTTTACTGCGGGGTTTGCACGTTCCCTGCAGCAATTTGAACCATGTCGATGTTCACCACCTGCGAGTCCTGAGCCACGAATTTGAAACCTGCCGAGGGGGTAATGGGACTCGTGTTTCTGGTGACACTTCCTCAGGGCTTTAGAGTGATGTGGTGAGTGTTTATTCAGATGGCCAAGTAATTAGTGTCAAGCCAATTTAATTGTTTGTATTTAATACTTGGTTGGTTAGTGAAATGCCAACTGAAATTATCGGGAATGTGGTGGTGTATGCCTTAGTTTTTTATGGATTGTGTTACTACTTCTGTTTCTTTGGCTGTAGAAAGGCTATTAGATATTTATTATCCCGCTGTTTTTAAAGATCACAAGTTCCTGTTGTAAAATCCTACAAATTGAGGGATTTTGAACTGTGACAGGAAAAAAGGTATTGGTGACTTGAGGCAGAATAGTGCAGGACTTTGCTGTGATGATTTTGCTTCTGTAGGAAACTGATGCAAATCATCATGTTTGGGAGGAAGAAGGTGCAGGTAGTGGTGAGGAGAAAAAGGAGAAGTAACTTCAGTGACCTCTGAAATACTAAGATATGGTAACTAAAGCTAAGGCACACATAGAAAGACCTGAGTCATATGTTAATAATTAATCCTAAAATATGAGAAATCTAGAACTCTTTTACCTAAGACTTTAAAAAGAAAGAGGGCGACTATAGGTTTGTCAGTTAAAAAACGAAGCCTGTGGAAGGGGAGACTACTCCAGAATGTCCTAATGAACGTATATAATTTACTATACCTTAGATTGTAGAGGATGGAAACTGCTCAACTTGCTGCACCTCATCCATCCCTGGGTAGAACTGGGAAGCTGGGAGGTGGAAAGCAGGGACAGGCAGCTTCTGGTGCTCCCAGAATCTGGTTTATATAACACAGAAGCTACTTTTATTATAGTATTTGTTAATGTTCTGCCAGCTGCTTTGACTCATGAGTATCCTCAATGTTAGATTAGCAATTCCACAGGACACATTAATCCCTAAACCTGTGTGACAGTAAGGCGGCTGTGGTTTTTATGCTAAAATATTAAATACATTCAACTTGCTGCTTTTGAGCAACTGGAATGTAACAGCTTTCTCAAGACATGGCAGTCTGAGCTGGTCAAACCACAGCTGTGATTTTTATTTTGGTTACCCTTTGGAAAGCAAATGATGGCTTCTAAGTGGTAGGGCAGAGCTGATAGTTTATACAGAAAGAGATGCTGAGTCAAAGCTGTGAAGTGGAGCTGTTGAACTATTCCTTCCTGATAAATGATAGAATGACTGTTTTGAACTCTTTAAAACTAATTTTTGGGTTAATTAACAAAGACTTTTACGTCTCTTAAGTTGTCCATCTGTTTGCCGTGTTTTGTGGGAAAATGGATGGTTTTCATAAGTACAGTAAAGTGCACTTAACCCTAGCACTCTTGGCTAAGTGTACTTTACTGTATCTTAGCCTTTTAATCTTCTGTTCTGGAGAGTACTTGGATACACCTAAGAGGGTGAAAATTTTTATTTCAGTGCAGATTGAACAAAACCTGTCTCTACCTCACTTTTTTTTTTTTTTTCCCCATTTTAAATTAATTCCCATTTTGGAATAATCCACTTTCCATGGATTTTTCACATTGCTCTGAGTATTGCCAGAAAAAATTAAAATCTAACCTCTTGAAGCTTTCATTCTGAAATGGTACACTAAAGCAATCAGTTTACGATCGGGTTAAGTGATCGTGACTGGAATGTTTGAAAAGCAAGATGTGTTTCCAGTCTGCTCCGAGGAGATCCTAAATCAAACAGGCAGCTCAGGGACAGACAAGCTGCGGGTTTGAAAGGTAAATGAAATCCGTGCTGGGTGTGTGAGGTGCAGGGGTTTCACTCCTCCTGTGCTTGCCTCTCTTCTGCCAGGAACTACTCAGACATCCCTAAGTGTTCCCATTGATCCCACGAGTGCTGCTTCGTGTGATGTTGAATCTGGAATGGTTAGAGTTGTGTGGCTTGTTCTGTTCTTCTCCCCCCACCCCCACCTTTTGAATTGTCTTTTGTCTCTTTGGTTTGTTGATCAAACAGGATGATCTTTGTTACTCGTGTTTCTGTCTCAGCAGGGCTAAGGCTGGCGGGAGAAAAGCTTTTCATGACAAGTTTTGACTTTGCTCTCTGCCTGAAAATTAGAGCCATTAAAACACATTCGAGGGGAGCTCTTATGTGTAGTATTTTGTAGAGATTTGGAATGTTCTGGAATAAAAGCAAAGCGGAAATCCAGCCAACTCATGGGACCCAACAAACAAAATCAGTGAGCTCTCCCTGTTTAGCTCAGGGAGTGAGGCAACAACATTCAATTGATATGTGTTTGAAGAGGTCTTTTTCTTTAGTTCAGAGGCAGTATTGCTGTTCCATTTTGAACAAAAGATTGTGCATATCTTTTGAGAATAGCTCTTGAGATTTTTAGTAATCTTGATTTTTACAATGTTGATTGCAAAAACTGGTGGTGAAACGTGGCGTGCTGACATGTCAGAGAAACTAGGAAATGTTAGACAAAGGAGCAAATTTGCAGCTGACAGCTGAAGCATTTGAAGATCTCTTCCATCATCCTAAAGTTTTAGAGTAAACATTCTGGTTATGATTTTCCAACTGTCGTAAAAACGGAAGTCGGGCTTATTTTGTGAAAGATCCCTCATAACAGAGGGATTTACATGCTTAGAAGTGTTCAATATTTATTTTTCCCCATTAGTTCCTAAAAATGTTTCTTTCAGTGGAGTTGAAGTAAAAATAAGCGGCTGTGAATCTTGTTCTCTCCTTTGCCTGTCTCCATGGCAGTGAAGTGTTTTAAATTGGTATGTCCAGCTCAGTCTTTGCAGCAGTGCCATCCTTTTTAAATGTGAGCTGGTTTTTACCCTCAGCACTGAGATTCAGTTTACAGACATGTATTGTGCAGCTTCTGCTCTACCCTGGAGTAGCTGGAGGACTCTGCAGTGTGTTAGAAAAAGAAATATCTGGTGTGATTAAGACACATTTCTGGTTTGATTATTTTGTGCATATAAAGAAAAAGCTCAACCTGTAGTTTGGGGGGGGGGGGGTTTGTTTGTTTTGTTGGTTTTTTGGTTTTTTAAGTGTAAGAAAGAGAAAAAAATTTTATCTTGGAAGAGCAGAGTTTGTTTCATGACAGTATTAACTGTGCTTCAAAAGCAACACATATCTTGTGTCAGTATATAAGAGGATGGTGCTTGTCCTCTAAATTTAGGTGAGGCATTTTAGCAAATCAACAGAGCTTTATTATATAAAAATTTAGATCAGGTCCTATTTTTGGTAGGAGCATGACCTGAAAAGAGAAACAAACATGCTGCTGCCTTTGGTGGCTGATAATTGGTGACATTTTTACATTTTAATTCACAAATACTCTGAGTGTGACAATGGAAGTGTTTAAAGGTGACTGCCAAGCTTACACATAGAGCAGATACTGTGGTAGCCTTATTCTGGGAAGCATTAGGAGGCTTTTATAGACAGACATCGTGTGTGGGATCCTCAAGAGCTGGCTCTGGCACTGCTGAGGGAAAGGCAGTGGTGGTGCTGTAAATGCTGGTCTTTAGCACAGCAAGGACCTTGCCATGATTGAGGGTTAGGGGAGCTGCTGTAGAAAATGATTGGTAATACAGTAATCTGCTTTTTGAGAGACCTTTTATAATGCCAATAACAGCAGGCTAGAATTTGGCTTGTTTGTTAAGCACTGAACTCTTGGTGCTGCTCATATTGCTGAAATCCTTTTTGTGTGGGTAATGTGAGACCTTTTAATTTTTTTCAAGATTTTTAGTCTTTTCTAGCTCTGCTGTAAAACATTTAGTTTAGTTATGGTTAGTAATGATTTGTGACAGGCAGAACTGGGTGGGAGGGATTTAGAAAATGGAGTCTAAAAGAGGTCATGTCATTAATTTAAATTTGTTTTGAACATTTCAGATTTTTCTTCTTGCCTGTCCCCCATGTCGGACTGCAATGATCCTCTTCAGGTAATACCTCTTCCTTACCATATTTCTGTCTACTTTCATGATGTATTTTAGAAGTTAATCACTGCTTAAGGCATAAAATACTAAGGTTTATGTCCAGTAGGAAATGCATGTTGGTTGGATTGAAAGATGATACCTTGAAAAGGCTTAAAGGGTGAGTGTTGGGCCCCATAGCCTTGGTGCTTCTGTACTGGTGGGTTTGGCCTCACTCATGAACAAGAATTAGCTCAGTAACAGAGGAGGTAATGCAGGTTAATGTATGAGCTGCTGTAATTTGTGTCATGGGCCTCGGACCTTTTTATTATCCTCAGTAAAAATTCATAACTGGGCCTCACTGAAAGCCACGCACACAGTGTGGGTCTAATTTTAAAACTGTGGATAGGTAAGGTGAAATGGTTAATGCAAATTCTTGCTGACCTGGGTATTTCTGAAATCCATGCAATCTCTCCTAAAATACTGCTACTGTTATTTTAGGAACCACAGGAGGCTCTAATGGGCCACAGCAGCAAAGTCCAGTGAGCAGCTAAAGGACTGAATTAGTGGTGTTGTGGGGAGGGTCAGGGGACTTCCCAGGCAGAATGGCAGTCAGGAATGGCTGTAATTGCCACCCTGACATTAAATGTGGCTCTTTCTTGTCTTAGTCTGGGCATTTACTGGAAAAATGATGCTGGAGGAATGCCTGTTACTGTCTGTCTGCAACTTTTCCCTGTTGTTCCTTATTATTTGTGCAGGGATTATAGAGATCCTGTGCCAGTGTCTCCTTGGAGGGTGTGAAAAGTGTGTCTGGTGTCCAGGAAATCATTGCTAAAGGTTATAGAGCAGAGGCCACAATATTTGTTGGTTTTTTTTGCAGACTGAGTATCTCTATTTTGACACCCTGACAGCATATAAATTATGTCTGAAAGACTGTTTTAAAATATGCAGTATTATAACACTACTTTCCTGCCTCGTGCTTTGCTTAGGACTTGCTGTTGCATTTTGATAAATGTGGTTCTTTTATTTAAGGGACTTCTTCCAAATTCCCGAAGCTTCACTTTGAAGCTACGCATTCTCAGGGTTAAGCAGGATAAAAACTGTTATCAAATATGCTATTTTAAGGTCTGGAAGACAAGTGAACAGCAGAATTCCAGCTATCTAGCAGCTTGCATCGTGAACAGGATTATGGACAGTCCAGGCTTTCTAGGAATCCAAAGCTCATTATAGAAAGCAGTCCTACTTTAGGAAATTCTACAAGTGTGGATCTAAAGATAGGGTTTTGTCCTGGTTATTGCATTTGGCAACATCTCATTAATTGCATTTAACAGTGACTTTATTCAAATTCAAGCCAAAAGAATTTGAAATGTCTCGCTACCTTTCATTGAAGAGATAATACAGAAAAGCCTTGCATTGGATTTCCACCTGTGAAAAGAGTATCCCATCTTTTTCCGAAGGTTGCAGATGCACATGCTGAACGGGGCCCTGCTGGCTTTGCTGTTTCCTGTTGTTAACACACGCCTGGTGAGTGCACTGTAGTTTTCTTCCTCCTTTTCAATTTATTTCTGGAAGATTTGCTTTGGAAAGATGTCAGAGCTTTGCTTTGTTTGGCCTTTTAAAGTTTGTTTTACCAGGCTGTAGATTCCTGGTACAGGTCATCACAGTGGAGCCAAAATACCAACCTTGGATTTTTGGGGTGTCTGTAACTCGGTGTGAGAAGCCAACACTGTCGTATTCCAAGTATTCCAAGTGTCTGTTCCATCCTGGCCTTAAAGGAGGGGAAGCTTAATGGCTTTGGAAGAGGCTTTCACAGGTTAACCTGGTGGCACGTGGTCAAAATTCAGTGTCAGGCTTTTCAGACTCTGTGTAAATGTAAGATTCCTCTGGCCTGGAAAATGCCAAATGTTGTTCTTGGCTGCCATCCCCTCTCTCCCAAGATTAGGCACAGCAGGTTTCTTTTTTCCCATCTAAGTTTTCAAATCTGCTGTAAAACTCGAGTTAACCTGTTGTTGTGCCTGGTAAGATTCTTAAACCTACTGTCCATATAGCACATGAATTAATATTATTAACAAAATTGTTGTGGACTTCAGACTCCATTGCAAATCTTGTTATTGGCTCTCCATTTGCAGATATTAACTGTCTAAATAAGATTAACTATAAACTGTTATAAATGTGCAGATTGCAATTGTTTTATTAAAACTTGATACTGCTGAAGGGCATCAAATGAATAAAACAAGTGGGATTTTTTTTCCTGATAAGGATAAATCTTTTTATTTTGCATTTAAAGCCATCTAGTTTTCAAGTAAATATAACCTTAAGCATGACAAAATTATTTTCCTGGGTAACCTCTGAAGGATAAAATGTTGCAGTATTTAGTAACTCATTAGCTTTTGTTTTCTCTGCCATGATCATAAATCTCACTCCTATTAGGGCAGCGGTGATTAAACAAGAAAGATGCAGACTACTCACAAAATTTTCTCCATAATTAGGATTGGAGGAGCCAAAGGACAATGTCCAAGAGCAAATATTTTTGGAATAAATACAACTTAGGATATTTTTGGCCTAACAGCTGCTTGCTAGGCTTTCCTCTTTTCAGTGTTTCTTCTGGCACAAGATAATGTGGGTGATGTTGTAGAGTGCTGCTGCTTTGACCCAGATCCTCTCCTGGCAGACAGACATTCAGCTCCACAACTATCACTGTAGCTGTTTACACTGACGTTGTCCTGAAAGCAGGAAATGTCTCCTGAAATTTAGTAGGAATTTCAAAAAAATCCCAATAATTTTGTCTGAGCTGTCTGCTGTGGTTTATGGTATCTAAGTGAAAAACTTTGGGTTGTCAAGAATTGTTGTGTCTCTGTGCAGCAACTTCAAATTTCAGTTTTATGAGATTTTAGGTTCATTTTCATACAAAAATGTTATACACTTAGATATGTCTGTAAATAGTTGGAATATACAATGTGTGACACAAAGAGCATGAAAAATTGATCAGTGTGGGGAGGGGGATGGTCTGGGGCAGAGAGAATTCCGAGGTCAGTGGAGCTGGAGAGCAGGAGGCTGGTGCCTCCCACTTTGAGGGATTGTGCCAAAGGGATGCACGGCCCTAAGTGCCCAAATGCCTCCCTGGTGCCTTCCAGAGTGTGAAATGTGTGTTGTCTCTGTGAATTATTTGATGCACAGCTGGGTGTTGTCCTGTGGTAGGTATTTCGTTGTCCTCGGCTGACATTTTCCTCGAGCTGCCTCTTCCATGTGATCCTTTGGAATCTTGCAGGCAGCAGATAATGGGGTTGATCTGCAGCCTCTGTTTGGAGACACCTGCTAATTTAGCAGGTTCAGCAGGAGGCCTGTGTGTAACAGCTGGCATGTTGGGTGTCATTAGGGAGATGAAAGCACTGAGAGCAGGAAAAGGTATTAGATGTGCAGTTTTATTTGCACTTGCCAGCAATCTGGAAGGGACAAAAGGCAGGAGACAGAGAATGGAAGAGAGTTGTTGCATCACCACTTTGTGGATGTTTTAGTGGATATCAGGGTTCTGCTTCCAAGTGTTAACCTGTTCAGTGCAATTTCCAGAACACCTCTTACAGCATTTTGTGGCACAGTCTGTTGGGTCACATGTTTTTGCTACCAATTACATTACTGAGTGCATTGTAAGTGTTCTTTTTGTATATCTGCTTCAATGTTAAATTAGCCTGAAAAATAAATTTGTCGAAGCTTCTGGCATAATTTCATGGTTTCCATTTTCTTATAATGCATCTGTTAAATTTTTATTTTTTTTTTTTTAGAACCTCAGTCATTTCAAAATTATTCTTAGCTTGTAGTCTGTTGGCAGTGGAAATGGAGAGTTGAGATATTCACTGCAACTACAGAAGAAAGTTTCTACCTTTTTGTTGTTTTAATCTTTCAGTTAAACTGTACTTGTCAAAAATCTTGTTGGGCTATAATGGGGCCACCTGGAATAGTGTTCCAAACAAATGTAGCCTGAAAGATGAGGTCAGTCTATTCTGTTCTTTCCAAGAAAATATTTTCCTGCCTTGGCATGATGTTGAAGTGTCAACAATTAACAGACTTGTGCAACAGATGCACCCACTTGTAATTATTTGGCACCTAAATACTCCAGTTATTTTCTACTTTATTTATGGTGTGCTGATGGAATTAAATTTTGTGCATTGGAATAGGCACTGGATAGAGATAAAACTGTGTCTTCTTCAGAACTCACAGTATTATTGTGTGGGTTCTTATCCTTTCAGAAATAAAGGGTATTTTAATTTTCTCTCATAATTTCATCCCTTTGTCATGATGTGAATAATTCTTGGTCGGTATTAACTATTCACACTAACAGCAGGGTAATCTTTGGTGACCCTTAAGCAAATAGAGAAGAAGATGCCAAGGGAATTGGCTTGTTAGGTTCCCAAGTGGGAGCCTAGAAAGGTGTAAGAGGATATACAGGAGTAGACAGATTTCTTTTTACCCTGTATTTATATTATGTGGAACACAGTGTAGGTCCTGATAACCAGGCTATGTGGGTAAATTCATTTGACTGCCACAAAGACTCCAAGTGTTGAGAGAGTAACTGGATCTGTTTGTGCTTTCATATTGCATTAATCAAATTGTAAAGGAAACTCTGCTGGTTTAAAAGTGGTTGGTTTTTGGCTTTTTTTTTTTTTACAAGCTGATGTCCTGAAAATGTTGATATAGATAAAGTAAAAAACAGGACATGTCCCAAAGGTGTTGGACTTGTTGTCTCCGCTCACATGACTGAGATGGTGCAGTTTTAATGTTTCCAGAAGCTGCTGTATTCTATTATTAGAACTCTTTGGCCTGAGAGGTACACATTCTAAATCTGTGTTAGGAGCAGAACCATACTCTGGGCAGGACTTTGAGTACATTCCATGCACGCTCCAGTCACTGCCTGTGTAATGCTGTTGACTGTTGAAATAATAATTCACTGCACTAAATAGTTTGCCTGAAGTGCCTGTGCCTGCACAGCAGAATGACACAGGTTGTGGTGGCTCATTAAGTCATCTCTAGACTGGCTTTATCTGACTGGCACAAGGAAGGACAATGGAAATGTTTGGGGGCTGTTGAGAGATCATGCTTTGGCTGCTGGTGGGTGATAAAGGCAGGGCTGGTGCATCTCTGGGCAGTTGTACACGCTGTGTGCATTAAACTGGTGTGAGGGTGTTGGTGATGGTGATGTCTAAGAGGGTGGCTGGTACAGAGCAACCTTTGCTGTTTGCTGGGCTCTCTGCCAGATGTGCTACAGGAAAGAGCAGAACCTGGGAGCTGAATTCTTTCTATTCCCTTTCTGCCATCCTCTGCAGTGTTTGCACAGAATGATGGAGGAAGTGCTTGAGCCAAGATACAAATAATTAAGAGGGAAAAGCACTACTTTCAGCAAACAGAGCAAAGTGTTAAGCTGCTTGCCAGCTGAGAACCGACTGCTGGGTGGTCCCTTGTGCCTTGTTTTCACTTACAGTTTCTCTTTGCATGCAGAGGGTGCCTCTCTGCTATCTGTGAGTGAATCTTTTATTGATAAAAGTTTATTTATTTAGGTCTGGGTGAGCCAGTTGCTCAGTACAACTTTATAGTTCCTCTGGTGTGTTTTTTTTTGGTTCCTGTTTTTTGTAGCCTGGCTGTGCAACTCGAGTGCTTGGTTGTACAGAAACTCTGCAGCTCCACAGCAGGAAATGCACTTGCATGATCAGCCAGGCTTCAGAACAAGCCATCTCTAACAGTGAGGAAAGAGATGTTTTGTTTTACACACACACAAAAAAATATATTGTCAACACTTCTGCAGCACAAACAACTGTTCCTGTGTTGTGAGGAGTGTCCTGAGTGCAGGGTTGGTGTGACAGACCCTCACAGCTCTGAGTGTGGAAGCCCTTTTGAAACCTCAGATAAACAGGGAATGCTCCTTGGCAGGAGTGCCTGCCTCACGTTTAGTGTTTATATTCAGCAGCAATTGTTTCTGAAGTGGGAGAGGTGCAGCTTTTTCTCCACTTAGGAAAACTGCTTTAGTTCCTTCCCAAATTTTAATTCCCTCGCTTTGCTCTCTTCAACAAGGGACAGCAGGAAAGGTTCAGATTCAGGAAACCTCACAACTTCCATGGAGTTCTTGTGTTTGCATCCCATTACCTTGCTTGGGTTTATCTTCTGATACAGAATATTTGGAATAAAATAACCCAACTAATTCAACTAAACACACAGATGACTAATCGTAACTTCCCAAAGTTTTCAGCAGCTGAGAAATGAATGATTTACTACTAACTGGTAACTTGTTTACCCACATGCTTCTGCAGCTTCTCTTTAAAACCGATAAAATACCTGTTATTTTTTATTTTATATTTGGTCAAACTTAGCAGTTCCACACATGAATGCAGATTGCTATAAATCAGGCACTTTGAGGGTTTTTTCTTTTGCAGAGACCTCCTCAGTAATTAATATATAAAAGTATATCAATGTATATATACAAGACTGCATTTATAGAGTTTTGTCACTCAAAGAGATGATAAAATAACTGAACTCAATGCATTGTCACGGGTCCTAAGGAGAATGGTTCCTTGTAACTTGGTTGGTTGTTGTTGATGAAGAATATTTACAAATATTTTCCTTTCTTCCACAGCTTCCATTTGAAATGGAAATTTATTATATCCAGCATGTGATGCTTTATGTTGTGCCCATCTATCTGCTGCAGAAAGGAGGTATGTTGACAATTTACTCCCTATGGATTGAATTGGTCCCATGCAATGAAAGAAATGTGCTTACTGGATACCACCAATTTTATTCTTACCCTTTTTTTAACCAGTTTTCTCTGTCGTTACTTAATAATTTCCAATGTTCTGATGTTGGAGTTGTAATCCAGGTAACAGCAACTTGTGTCAGGCAGTGCAATGGAAATTAAAAAAAAGGTATATTGCCCAAAGGGATATCACTGGTGTGTTGGTATAATGTGCACTGTCTTTTTGAGTAGCATTTCTGCCACTTTGTAACACTCTCAAGTTGTTGGGGGGATGTATTTTTAAAACCTTTGTCTTCTTAGTACTGGAACTTAAAATGAGCTGAAAAAAAAATCATGATTACATCCCACGTAAATTTTAATTGTCTAGTGAGTCAGGTTACAGAAATTCTGAAGCTCTAATGAAATGCAGTGACACATGAACTGGCTTGCTTGTTATCCCATCTTGCATTCTCTTATGCCATAACAGTTCAGTAAGTCTGGGAATCCCAAATTGTTCCCCTGACCAGTGATTTTTCCTCAGAAGGGAGTGCAGTGTGGGTTCAGCTGGTGTGATGCTCTGCTCCCCTCTAGTGTTCACATGCCTCCAGCTGCATTTTCTAGCAGGGCTGAATTGTTTCATTCAGGCAATAAAAGATGATAACTCACGGTCCAGGGGTTCAGCGGCTTTTAATGAAAACCACAATGATGTGATGTGATTTGAGCCGTGGGATGCAGTTTAGAAAATGCTCAGAACAAGCAGAATCAGCCTCTTTCATTCTGTTGAATCTGCTGTATTTTATACCAGCAGTGAATTACAATCCTTCACTCTTATTCCACTGTAACCTCTGTGTTACAGTGACTGTGTTGCACTGTAACCTGCTGAGTGGAACTGCACAAAAATGATTCACAGGAAAAGGTCTTAAGGTCTGGCCTTGGATGTCACTTGATGTGTTCCTTTAAGTTTTGTTTGTTTGTTTGTTTGTTTGTTTGTTTGTTTTGAAATAGAGGTTCTTGGGGTTCTTCAGGACCTGGGACTGACAGGACTGTGTTTGCAGTTTGAAGGGTCAGGTGTTGTCACCCTGGTCCAGTTTTCTAAACTCCTGCCCTGTATTAACTTACAGGCATTTGCTGCCATCTAATGTCGATGTGATGGCATTGAAATTGCTGAAAGAACTTGGCTGGCTAAATCTGTCAGTTGAGATTGCTCTGTAACTAAGGCTGTGTAACTAATAACTGTTCCATGTCTTATGCACTTGCCTTCCTGTCACCTGACTGACTGTAATTCATTGACATCCAGGAACTCCCACATTAGTTATGGTGCCACAGGCGACCTAATGCGTGATTTTTGATGGAAAAATTGCTCAGCATGAAAACATTTGTTAGTGTTTTGTCATTTCACTGGCACCTCTGTTTAAAGTACCTTCTGGGTAGATCACACAGGCCTTTGTCCTAAGTATATCTTGTGAGAATTGCTTTTTTTCATCGCTGACATTGATCAGCACTGTTATTGTAATCAGAAACTTGCAACTGTGAATGTATGGATTGTGACTGAGAGAAGTAATTGCAGGGCAGAAAATTGGAAAAATGACAAGGAATGGATCATATATGGAAAAATGTGCTACTTCAGTCTTATTGGACATCTGGCCCTAAGGGGGTCCAAACATTCCTCAGAGGCAGGGGGAGCAGGACACCTGAAGCAGGGTGGGTTTGAGGCTCAGTCCATGCAGAACTGCACGCCCAAGTTTGCTGACGTGTTAATCAGGTCATGCATGCACATCTGACTCCCTGCTGACACCTTTCCTTTTTGAAAGGAAATTGGGTGACAGTAAGCAAGAGCTGTAATAATTTATTTTCAGTGTCTTCCTGCTATTCATTCCAGTGGTGCAAGACAGGTCATGATGCACTGGCAGCATCACCTTCATGTCCCTCCTGACCCCATAAGTGTGGGGGCTTTACCACACTTAGCAGGACCTGGGTGAGACTTAGAAGCCAGGTTTCAGTGTAGCACAGTGAACTCATTGAAACTCAAGGACATATTCCCTCTTGGGGAATGTCCTCTCCCCTCTGTACTGAGTGAATATAAACTTTCCTACTTCCCTTTGTTAACATACCTTCTTCCCAAGTGCATACATGCACGTACACACACACGTGGGCCAGACAAAATGTGTGTTTATGCACAGTGGCTCATCTTTCTTGGCTGTACTAAGAGACTCTCATGCAAAATGGATGCAGTGTGGATGTAACAGGACAGCACAGGAGATTCCTAACCCAAGGCAGTTCTTACAGGGAGTATGTCTGCAGTTGGCACTTTTATTTTTCTGGGTGAATCTCACCTTGTGTCACCTGTGGTTGCTGCCCAAAATGACAGGATGCATCTGGGCAGGCCACAGCATTCCAGAAATATATGGATGGGCTGAACAGTGACCTGCAGGTCACTGTTTTCTCTTGTCCTTAGGAAGTGAGACCCTTGCTTCCCTCTCAAAAAAGTCTGAATGCTTTTGTAGTTTGTGTTGGGTCACTCATGTCAGGGGAGTGTGAATGCTGGGAAAAGGGAGGTGCCGTGAATGGTCGAGGTGGGAGGCAGAAGGCCAGAACCACAGCAGTGCAGATTTAGAGCATGGAACCAACCTCTTCTTCAAAAAGCTCCTCAAAAACCTTCCTTCTAGAACTGCTCTGATTTTCTGAAGCATATGAGTGTGATCTGATAATTATACTTTGTGTCACTGGGGTACAGACCGTGGGGAGAAGGCTGAGGAAGGTGACAGCTGAGCAAGTGTCACGTCTCAAACTGCCACAACTATTGCAACAGTGCATTAACCTGACCTTCTAAGATCCAGGTATTAGTGGTGTTCAGGACAGCTTAGTTTTTTAACTGTATACTCTTGAGATAATGGGAAAAAAAAATCGAGTTTGCGCTGCATGAGCTTCAGAGACTCTCAGTTCCTGACTGTCTTGGTCCCTAAGCTGGTTTGGTCAGGTTTGCAGATGGATTTGACAAGGTTAGGTGTGCACCTTATTTTAGAACTTCAAATAATATTGAATATAATCAAAGTGGAATTGTTATTTCCTTAGAGCAGTGAGCAAATGATATTACTCCACAACAGATTGAAATAAGGATTAACTTAGAGCAGCTCCCTCTCAGTGGAGCTCAGAGATTCTGTCTTGTGTTTCGAGATCGCCAGCGTTATTTAGCTGACTTAGGGACTTCAGCAAGTGGAAGAGGATGCTGATGTTGAGTTTTTTTAGGATTTCGTTCCTGCTCTGCAGCACCTGGAATTCCGGGATGCCCTGGAGCGGTTGCGCTGCGGGGCCGCGGCCGCCAGAGGGAGCTGCGCGAGCCTGGAATTCCCGATTCCAGCGGGTTTGTCCGCAAGGTGCGGGCAGGGAAAGGATTCGGTGGGCTCGTGTTTTTTTAGGGGGAGAAATCCTCTTCTTCAGCCACACCTGCCAGTAATGGCCTTGCAGATCCTGGACAGTCCTGTGGTCTGGCTCTGTGTGTTTTAAGAGCTGATTTGCTGTGCACAAGTGGACAGACACAGACACCCTAAATAATTGAGTTGTTTGCTGGGAGTCGAGTCACAATTTTCTTCTTTTAAGGCACGTGCTGTATCTTTATAAGCAATGAAGATCCAGTCTCTCTGACTCAGGTCCTAACACCCTTTTCTATGTTGATCTGAGAGTCTTCAAAACTGGCATCGAAAGAGAGAAGTTCTGTGGCATTATCAGAAAGGCAGGAGAAGTTAATGATCTCTTTCCCCTCCTTTTTTTCCCCTCTCATGCAGAATGAATGCCTCAGTCACGCTTCAGAAGCTGGGCAGGAGCAGCTCAGCACAGCTCTGTGGGGGCAGTGCAGTGTGTGACCCGAGGGGAAGCTGATGTGGAACACAGATACCGAGCACAGACCAAAGGATCGTTTTTCCTGTGGCTGTAAACTAGGAAAGTGCAATTAAAGCAATGGGGGATCTAAAGTTGTGCTTTCCATTGGCTGTTAGGACTTGCTGGCTGGAGTGGGGGATTACCATATTCAAAGAAATTTTTTTAGCTGTTGCACCCCTTTGTTCAGCCACTTTTCCACTTTGTGACACTTTGGCTTGGTCTATCCTTAGCTTTTTGAAGGAGTTCTAAAGCAGGCTTTGCTATACACCTCAGTAGCAACCCAGGAAAAGTATCACTTTATTCCTGGATATATTTAGGTGGCAATAAATCCAGTTCATTTCCATCCTTGATAATGTAACAGCTCTTTCACTGAACCTCTGAGCTGCTTGGAGATCTGTTGACTCTTAGGTACTATTTATTCCCCCGCTCTCCTGCTGGCAGTTCCATGTTCCTATTCCAGCTTTTGTCCACCTGCTGCATCCCATGCATTGGACATGGATGTCTGGTTTGCTGTCCAGCTGTGCCTGTGCTGTGGCACTTGGAGCAGAGGGTGGCTGTGCTGTCACTCTGGCTGCAGGCTCAGGCTCCTTTGTGGCTTGATCATTCCAGGACAATTGCGTTTGATGATTTAAGAGACCTGGAGAGGAAGAGGAGGGGACGTGTCTGTTCTGTGACCCTCTGAGCTCTGTGCACTGGGCAGCCACAGTTTGTTTGAAAAATGAAATCTCCCTCTGGGAGATGGAGAAATTTAGAAGGGCAGGTACCAGCATCTAGAAGAGCTGCTACTGTCTGAAGGCAGAGGAAGAACTGCTGCTTCTTTATGGAGAATAAAAAATGGTTCCTGAGAGGAGCAGGTAATATAAGAGCCCTGTGTGAGCTGGTTGTGATGAGAGGAGCTGGCACTGAGGGGAAACAGAAACCTCCTGGCATAAGGGAGTCTTGAAATCTACAAAGGGAGTCAGAACAGCTGTAGGGGAAACAGTGGATTTCAGGACCATCCTCCTGAGAACGTTTTTTCCTGTTTTCCTCTGGATAGGAAGTTTGGTCTCTAGGCCAGCTCAGTAGGCCACACAATTAGAATTAACCCTTTGATGAAGGGAAATAAAACGAAAATAAATTTGCCCTCACATTTTAATAAGCTGGAAAATGAGAGAATTGTAATACCTGCTGTGAGTTTTGGATTAAGCAGGTGGTCTTGTAATTGTGAGACTGCTGAAGGAGAGTGCTGGAAAACTCATAAAACTCTATCAAATGTAGTGGGAATGGAAACCAAGACAATTAAAGAGATTATTTAAAACCTTACTAAATTAAAAATTTGTACTGTATCTAGCTTCTAATTCAAACAAAGGAGTAATTTTCTCCTCCATTATGCTTTCAGAGAATTACAAAAGGAGTATCACTTTCTATTAACTTGCATTCAAATTTCTACAAGCCTATGTATTGAGAATTTAAGATAAAAATAATGGTTCATAAGAACACTTGAACCAGCACAGGACATTGAGGGGGAGCAATATAAAAGAAATGGAGTCTTTGTTGATTTTTTAGATTTTTAAAGCTGTGCTTCCATTTCCCAGATGGCAAAGTGAACAACTTGGCACGTTCAAGGTCAACAAAATTTTGTTGCAGAAGCAGACAAGGAATGCCCAACTCTTTGATCTATATGGAATCCTTCCTATCGATGCTATTGAAGTATTGAAGTTTAAATTAAACTGAAATGTCCCCTGCCATGCCATTTCAACAGTGGAGCAAATGTACAACTTACCAAGATGACCCTGATTAGGAATGGTCTCAACTGTCTGGGCCAGGAGTGTTTTTGAGAATGAGATCAGTGCCAGACTGGCAGTTGGATTAAATTTTTTACATGCTTAATGTATAAGAATTGCCCATGATCCTTAGTAAACAGAGAGTGAAACTCTCTGCTGCTACCTGTTAAAATTGATTTCCTATTCAAGCTGCAGAAGCTTTTGCCAAAGCCAACACAGGCCCTTGAAACAACCCCTCAGCTGGGTCTCAGTTTTCCTGGTGTTGTGTCCCTGTTAACAGACTGTGTCCTATGGAAAGGAACCACACTGCTCCATTAAACAGCCATCTGTTGAATAGCAGGACTGTGGAGCAATAAAATCTGTAGTGGTTATTTATCTAATGAGAAATGTACAGAAAATATCCCAGGTATGAATTTAAAATTGGTTTCCCAAGGCACACTTGGGAATGCAGAGTGCTGTGAAATGTTTTCCTGTGAAGGTCAGTGTTTCCTTTTTGTCCCCTGATGGCCAAATAATGCTGCTGCTGAAAATCACACCATTCTTTTAAGGATTCCAAAGTCTAACAAGGGGGGATTTTTCTATTACAAAGCAAGACCAAAAATCTGTAGAGAGCAAGAGTTGCTGATGTATGTTTTGGAGTTTTGCAACAGAGAGAGGATGTAGCAGAGTGAAATTCTTGGCTGAGGGAACCTGAACAGCTCTCCTGAGGGACCTCTGAAACACCATTCCCTGACTGGATTGAAGCTGGACATGAGAAGCCTGGGTTCAAAGCCAAATTATGCCACAGATCCTGTTGTTATCTTGTGCAATTTCCTTGGTCTTTTAATGACTGCTGTCTCCCTCCATTCTCATTTCATAGCTGGGTCCACTTGTCTATGTTGGTGTTTACACCCTACCTGCACTGTAAATCACTTGGATATGGAGGTCTCTCAGTTTTAGCTTTCCAACCACCAGGCTTTGTCAGACACTTTTGAAATAACACAGGCAATTGCCAACAGATGAGTTCACGTGAAACCTAATTTGGTTTAGCACTGCTCGGCCCGTTCCCAGGGGCTGCTTTGATACCTTATTTAAATTTTATGTTGTGTTTTGTATCTAGGTTAAACATGCACCTAGAACTTCAAAGACAATATAAATAAATTTTGCAAGTCAAACGATGTTTTCCTCACAGCAGAGGAAGGAGCACAAAGAGTTTCTGTAAAGCTTGACCAGGTCACCTAAAGTTGGTGCAGCCAAAAATAGAGCCATGATCTCCTGCACCGTGACAGCAAAGCTGGTCCCTCCTTCTCTTGCTCTCTGGAATGAAGAACCATCTTCAAGGTGGTGTCACGTATCTGATGTTTTCAGGCCATGGAGTTTAATGAATATTGTTGCTATTTAAGTAAGGATTCCTGCACCATTTTCTAAATAGGATGCCAGCTCCAAGCTCACACTTGCATTCCAAGAATGACTTCTGTGAATGTTTTTCCCTTTACCTGTAGAGCTTAAAGCTGTTCATGGAGAGTTCGCTTTTACCTTTTAGATTTTACAGTTCAGGCACTTCTGAACTTCACTTTCCTGCTGGGTAAGCAATCTTACAAGCTGCCTTTTGCTTTCCAAGCAGCTTCTGTGCTCCTGTTTACCCTGGTTGCACCAAGTCACGGCTTGCTCAGTGAAACACGGTGTGCAGTCATTCCTTGGGTAATTACAGGAATACAGCTTCTCCTTAGAGCCAGGGAGGGATGTGAGGGGTGCAGATGTGCTGCTGCTGTCACTCAAACATGCAATCAATGTCTTGCTCTGAGGGTTGGCAGCAGAACCTGTGTGTTCCTGTGCAGCTTTAGACAACAGCGTGTAGGTAACTTTGATTTTGTGCCATTCATGAAATGCTGTTTTAACTGAACTTGTTTCAGGCAGCTACTGCAAAATCAGCCTGAACTGGCATGATGGGTACAAACTGTGGAAGAAAACTACGCAGAAAAAGGATCTTAAAAGGGCAACAGATTGAGGAGGCATTCCTCTAGAGACTTTAAACATGGCAAGGGATGCACCATTATATGGTGATGTGGTAACAGCAGTTACTTGTGTTTACACAGGGTGCCATACACAGGCATGTTCACAGCAGCTGTGGCCTGGTGGGTTCTGTGGTCGCTGAACTCTGCATGTGGAGTTATTTGAGTTCCCAGTACCCTTGTGCAGCGTATGCTGAAGTCTGTAATTACTTCCTGGCAATTACTGAACGTGCCAGCAAAGGCTGGTATCAATATTGCACTCCGTGCTGTAAGCTGTCCTTTGAGTACTGGATACACAGCCCAATATTTAATAATATCTAATGGATCAGAGAGCAGATAAAGGCAGATAAAAATTGGCAGTGTATTTTTATAATCCTCTGGAACTCTTACAGCAGCTGAGCAGCATGACATTGTGCATCTTTCTTTTGTGTTCTGAGGTTAAAGTTATTAAAGTCATAAGGAAAATAATATTCTTTTCCCACATATCTTACACTAAAACTTTCATGGCTGCTAGTAAGAGTCTTAAGAATTCTCTAAACTGGTTTTGTTCTCACTGTATGAAATTTGAATATTTAATTCCCAAAATAGTCATGTATCTGTGGGTACTTTTATTAGATCTAATTTCCTTGGTACATTCTAGATCAGGGAACATTGTGTTTTGTCAGTAAATAGACAAAACCTGGTTTCAGGAGGAGGGAGAAAGGTGGGAATAACATTGTATCTGCTACTTCATTTGAAGGGAAAAAGTATTTTGCAGTATCTGTGATATCTACTGATTACAGCATAGGTTTACCACCACAGCGGTTTTCATATAAAAGCACAGCCTCTCACTGATGGATTGACTGCTTTTTACAGCTTTTCTGTTCCTTGGCATTATTGGTGCAGGTTCCTCTTTGATAGTTGTTAAACAACCATTAAATGAGGAAGTGGCAATGCTGTGCTCTGACACAGTGCTGGGCAGGACCTGCTGCTGCCTAAGCCAGTCCTGTGCAGGCTGAAGTCTTGGGCCCTGCAAGAAGCAGATGTTTAAGTATAAATAACCTGATTTTTGAAGATTCACTGTGCAGTAGTCCAGTATCTTAAAATCATGTAGTACTTCTGTGGTAGAAGGAAGAATGAGGTAAAAATTAGTGGTGGTGGTGAAAAATAGGCAAATATAATGAGGGAACATATTGCCTATTTTTACTGCTGGACCAGAAGGAGGGAAGAAGCTGTTCAGGATGCTCCAGGTAAGAATTAAAGCTCTCAAATATTAATTACTGTGATGGCATTGAGTAGGTTATCAGCTCGAGCCAGATGCCCTGACATGCACAGAGCAGGAGAGAGAGGATTATTGTTGAGTGAGTGTTTGATGGACACAGCAATGCAGCTGAATACTAATGTGCTCCTTTCTTTTCAAGGTATCTACACTCCAGAGCCACTCTGCAATTTCTGGTGGGCTCTTTTATCCACGGGGTTTATGTTTGTGTATCACTTCAGCATCTTGCAGGTTCTGGGACTGGTAAGTAAACATAGGTTAATAAATAGTTTGCAAGTACATCCAAAGTAAAACCACTGCCTAGTTTGTTTCCCAGTGTCCAGATCCACATGGATAAGAACTTGCATGCAAATTTTTGATAAGGCTGCTTGTATGCAAATTGCATGTTCTAACGAGCATTTGTATCTCGTGTCTCACAAGTACTGGTAAAATATTTCATAGATTGATTATGAAATAATAAATGAAATAAACTTGCATAAATCCATCTATTGAATGCACAGTAAAATTTGGATCTGCTTTCTTTCTGGAAGCTGCCCTATTTGTGTCGAGCAAAAGTGTCACCTAAACATTTTTCTATTGTTATGGTATAATTTCAAAACTGGTGCAAAAGCAAAAATATTGTTTCATTTATACATTTGTTGTCGCTTCCTCAGGTCACGGAAGTGAATCTGAACAACATGTTGTGCCCAGCCGTCTCAGATCCTTTTTACGGGCCCTGGTATCGGATCTGGGCATCTGGACATCAGACTGTGATGACCATGACTCATGGGAAGCTTGTAATCCTCCTGTTTCACAGTGCTGTCCCCATCTTTAAATGTAGCATGGACTTGCTTAGACTGCCAGCTAAGAAAATAGACTGAAATGTCACCCCGTGGAGTCCTGCAGGGAGCAGAGACACCGATACTGGAAAACAGAGGAGGGATGAGAGGACAACGAATTTATACTTCTCCCCACGGTTTATTGCCTCAGAAACACCTTTGTAATCAAGTGAGGGTTTTTTTTTACCTGCTGTTTCTCACTGCCTATTGCCAATGGCAAAATTAGTGGCCTTATTCTGGGAAAGGTTTGTGTTTTATACATTTTGTACAGATTACAGTAGAATCTTGCTAAGCCACCATTTAAAATTAGGCTGGGGCCTGTCCACATTCCAGCAAAGAGAGTGGCAGTGCTACCTTGTTTGGACTTATTTTCCATTAAATAAAAGTACAGTTATATCATGGGAGAGGAAATGATGCTGCATTGCAACACTCCTCTGATGTGAATGTTGAGCCACATCATCCTGGCTTAGCTCTTAGAACCTGAATGTTCCAAACAGCCCCAGGAAACAATCTCCCAGTCGTAAGTGCAAAGGAGTGAGGTTCTACTGTATTTTCTTTAGGCTGGTTGAAAATGTTGGGGAACAATAACTCATTCAAACAATACTTTTTTTGGTTTGTTTGTTTGTTTTTTTTTTTAAATCAACTGCTTAATTCCTAAGCTGCTGTGGGTAAATATCCATCTAGTGAAGTCCCATCGTATCTTGATGCTTTGGAGGTACCTTTATTTGGGTGAGTGGAAAAAAATCATGTGGAAATCATTTCAAAAGACCATGCTATGTATAAGCTATGATAAGATATTGCATCTACTCTTCTATCCAGACTTTGAACAAGATGTTTTTTCACTTAGCTTAGACTGGAGGAGGAGTGGAGATACAAAGTCCATTGTAAAGATCAGAGTTCTCTTTTTTTTTACTTAGTAGCTTTTGAAACATTCCTGCTCTGTCTACACTGATCCTCGCTGAGCAGACTGGTTAAAAAAGGAACAAAATGAAACTGTTCTCTCTCTAATACATTCTGTGTACTGATTTTAAAATACAGGTATAAAAAGGAATGTCAAATCAGTGCAGGCCTCTACTGAAAAGAACATGTTCCAGTTTACTGGTAAGAAATCTTCCTGTCAGCGTGTCTTTTGGAGAACAGGATGCAGATGGGCAGAAGGATCAACAGTAAAATGTGTGTACCTGTTCAAATTTTGCAAAGCTAGAGGAGAAACTGCTGGGCAGAAAGATGGGAAATGCTGAGCGTGTTCTTCCAGAACTGTGACTCTGTTTCCCAGGCTGTTGGGTTTCGGGGCTGCAGGTTTCTGTTGCACACAAGTTTGTTGCAATTTATACATTCATTGAGTTATCAAAGCTGTGACTTGTAAGATAAACCAAAACCACGATACCTCCTTCAGCTGCAGCACCTGAAGGGATGTTCTGAAGTTAGGGTACAGCCATTTATACCTCAGGAAGGAAATAAGGGAGAACAAGAAGTGGTTGATTTTGGCCTTTTTGTCTGTTTTCCTTAAGAAAGAAAAATTTTCGTTGGCGAGAGAAGAAGTGGCTACTTCAGATATTTTGATTCTGTATGATTAAAAAAAGTACACTTCAATCAGAACCATATTGTCCCACATTCTGATTTACAGGCTAGTTTCTGGTTTTCTTCCATGCCTTGCTGTGTGTGTGTGTTTATATATATATATATATATATACACATACATACACTCTCTCTATATATGTATATATACACACACTGAATCCAGCTGTGGAAGACCCCTGGATGAGCTGCTGAAGGGTTGGAAGTTCTTGCTGGTTATTTCAGCAGATCCAGTCCTTCATGCTGAAATGCAGGACGTTGCTGGGAGATGCCAATGCTGGATGTTAAAGCCTGTCCCTTATTAATATACTTCATTCCCTGGGGAGTGCTGAGCAAAACAGTGATTCTTCCCAACCTGTAGCTACTGTCAGGTACCAATCTTGGTTTATTTATTTACTCAAGGATTCGGCAAAATGCCTTATGCTGGATTCAGTTCTGTTTAGAAGGAATATTTGCTATTACAATAGAATGATTTTAGTCAAATTTTGCCAAATACTATTTTGCATTATTATTTGCTTAACTACATTTTTTCTTTTTTTAAAAAATCTTTACTGTTTTTTAAAGAATCTTTTTCCTTTTTTCCCCCTCAGAATATTGTAGTTACTGAAACATTTCTATAAGTAGCAGTCTTTTATTTTAATTTTTTTTTTCTTTTTTTAAACTATAACATTTCCCATCTATAGTCATATGCTTCAGGGCATTCCAAACAATTATAAACCAGCTGCTGTTTGCCACCATTGACTGCCTCTGGTCAATTAAAACTGCAGGAGCATTTAAATGAGCTCAGGTGTCTCACTCAGTGCAGGCTCTTTGCTTGGAATGCAAAATTTTGTGAGCTCTTCTGGCTGACTTAAAATCCAGTGGCAGGAATGGCCCAGCTGACAGAAGGAAATGCCTGGGGCAGTTTGGCTGAAGGGATTCCTGGTGCAGTTGTACCTCCTGCACCCCTGGCTGTGACAGCAGAGCCACTGAGTGGTCACTCCAGCCTTCCTTCCCACCCTGGGGCAGAGCTGGCTGGTGGTCACTGGGCTGACTTGTGCTTTTCCCTGTTCTGCTGGTCCAAAAAAACCTTTCAGATCATCAAGCCAACCACTAACCCATGTCCCCAAGAGCCACATCCACCCACCTTTTAAATACCTCCAGGGACGGTGACTCCCCCACTTCCCTGGGCAGCCTGTTCAATGCTTGGCAACCCTTTTGGTGAAGAAATTTATCCTAATATCCAATCTAAACCTCCCCTGGTGCAATTTGAGGCTGTTTCCTCTTGTCATGTTGCTTATTTCCTGGGAGAAGAGACTGCCCCCCACCTGGCTGATGACAAAGTCCACCCTGAGCCTCCTTTTCTGCAGGCTGAGCCCACTCAGCTCCCTCAGCTGCCCCACATCGGACTTGTGCTCCAGACCCTTCAGCAGCTCTGCTGCTTTGTTCTGGACATGCTCCAGAGCCCCAATGTCTTTCCTGTAGTGACAGGTCCAAAAGCCAAAATTATTCCCTCTCTCCCTGTGCCCCTTTTTGAAGGCTTTAAAAACTTAGTACTTCATGTTTGGTTATGGTGAACCACCACAAGAAACTGCACCCACCCAGCTGAGAGCGAGGCTCTGCTGAAGGGAAGGACAAGTCAGAATGGGAACAGAAAGGGAACAAACTTCTGAAGAAACCATCATAGAACTTCTCCTCCTTTACCCTTCATTCCTCATCTGTCTCTGGTACCTGTTGGGAATGTGCACCAGCCAGAGCTTGTTCCATGTGCATGCAGGATATGGGAAAGAAAGGGAAAGCTTCATCTCTGTAGCACTTATTTGTTGTTTTCCCTCACAGAGGCTGATTCTTCTTTTCCCCTGAAGGTTTCTTTTATAGGCACTTACAATATACAGATGATTTCTTTGGTTGCTTTTATGCTTATTTATGCTGGAAATGGAAGAACAAAACTCTCCTGCTGCTCCTGGGAGCTGATTGCTTTCTGTGCTGGGGTATTACGCACACAATCCATGGCAAGACAACTTGAAGCTGTTGCCCGGTACCTGGTGCTGAGATTTTACAGAGCTGCAAGTGCCACCTGCAAGTGAAAGGGTTGTCCTGGTCAAATGTGCCCCAATCCTCTGTGGTGGCACTCACAGCTGTGGCAGTGCTGGAGCAGGAGCTGGGCTGTGCAGACACACCCTCCATTCCCCACAGCTGAGGGTAAAACCTCACCCCAAAGCGGGCCCATGTGCTGTCCAAGAGCAAGTTGGGCACAATCCCAGAAAACAAACCCTTGTGCAGCGCTGCTGCCTGGCCTTCCCAAAAACACTGGTGTGTATTAAGGGCTCTGAACAGAGCCCTCAGATTTTTAGTACTGTAGGCACTTCAAAAGAAACAAGGAGCGAGGAAACTGCTCCTGCTGCCACCGAGTGGCTGCATTTCCAAATGTACCTGTAAACAGAGCATTATTAACTTTAATAAACTTGCTTACTGATGAGTTTTTTTTTTTTTATCCAGCCCTCTAAAGCACAGAAGGAAACCAATAACATTTCTGCACCCACTGCCTTGCCCCACAGCTTTAGCTGTCCAGGACCCCTGCAGTGCTATTTTTCCAAGGATTCAGACACTGAACAGTGTTGGAGCTTTATCTATTCCTTTAGCTCCTTCCTATTTAAGCACCAAAGCAGAATTTGCATCTTGTTTCTTTTGAAGGGTGAAAATGAACCATGCATGTACCAACTGATGAAAAGCCAGTCTATGAACATGCACCCAGAGCTGGTTTTGGTTCAGCTTCTTACGGTTCAAAGATGCTGCTTATGGGCAAAGCCTTCATGTGCTTGAGCAGCTGCTGCCTTGCTGAACTTGGGAGACAGGAAAAGTCAGTCCATTTGCAAATCCTGAGGTGAGAAGAGTACCAATCTAATTGTAGATTTCTATTTCGGGCCACAATCAGGGATTTGATATTTGTGTATATTTGATAGCATTTTCTAAAGCCCAGTTGTATTTTTCTTTCACAAATGGTTATTTGCAACTGTTAAATGGCTGTACTTTTATGTCCCAAGTTCTGCATCTAAACCAGAAGCATTTGTTTTCTATGCATCCATAGCTAATGGAAAATTGAGTTGTGCTGTTTTCTTGTGTTGCAGTCGTTTTGCTCGAGGTGGAGTCTTAGCAATTAAATTAGTCCTAATTGTTAGCAAAGCTCTGAAAAGGCCAAAAACCAGGAAGAGGGCCCATGCCAGCCCAGGTAGGAGGTGCAAGGTTTCTGCAGGCAGACAGGTCAGCTTTGATGTTTTCAGTTTTACAGTGACAAGACTCGTAACAAATCTGTTGATTTTGTGATCTTGTGCTCCTAAGTGATATTGCTGTAAATCTGTCTCGCAGCTGTTGGTGTAACTTAATCAAAGCCAAGCTGTTTTATAAATAATTTTATTTTTCTTCAGGGTCAATTTTGTACTTTTTTTAAATTATTTCTGCATTTACTGAGTCATTATCCCAATGCTGCAGAGGACGCAGCAGGCAGATCAGTGAGCATTCCCTGCTCTCCCCATCCACGCCGTGCCAGGGAGCTGGAGCTGGGCTGGACCACAAAGGGGTCTTTGGGAACTTGCAGATCTGATTACCCCACCCTTCAGTTCCAGCATTATCCAGGCACAGACTCGTTTGGCAAGGGCAAGGATGGCCGTGGATGAGCTCAACTGCCATATATGCTGTTAGTTCTGAATAATTTGTAAGAGTGTTATGAATTTTGTAAACTTTTTAATGTGCTAAACCTTGGTTATGAGGTAACATTTACAAATACGGGGTAATTTGTGTACTTGTTTTTGTATTTTGGTCTGATGATGGGGGTTTTTTTGTTGTTGTGCCCTAAGTACAGATCATTGGGCAAATAGTTGTTAAGCCTTTGAATTAAAACAAATAAATGCATTTTAATGGATACTGGACAGTTTTGTTATCATTCTAATTGTGCCAGACCTGGAGTTTGTCTTAAGATTTTTTATAATTAGGTAAGAAAACCAAAATTGCCTTTCCACTTCAGTTTGTAACATTAACAGTCAAGAGTCACTAAATATTAGCCAATTATAAGTCAGGACAAAATCTGGAGGTTCCTGTGTGAAACAGCCTGTACTGCCTGAGGTCATCTCTTTGCACACAGCAGTTCCTGGGAGAACAGTGGTTCCTGGGCTTTCTGGACATTTTAAGCAGTTCAGTATGACCTGTGCCTGCTACCTGCCAGTCACCAACAGCCTGAGTTCACTGGCAGAGCTCACTGTGGGATGTAAATCCTTTAATCGCTGTTTAAATATTTCCTGTCCTTGTCTTTCAGGCAAAGAGCTCAGGAAAGACTGTTCCAGTACCGTGAGGCTTCCTCCACTGTCCCCACCCAGCTTTGGCACTGTCTTACAGTTCCCATTTCATGGCACTTTAGTAGAAGGTGGGGGAACATGCACAGAAGTTTTCAGCTCCAAACTCTGTTCACGAAGCTGCTGTGGGAGCTGCAGTGCTGCCCTCAGACAGCCCCACACCAGAGGTGATGGCAAAGTCTTTTTAATGCACTTCAGAAATGCTTCTGGCTGTAACTGATATTATTGCCATTAGATCAATGTATTCCTGTCACCCAGGACAGCTCAGACAAGCAGGTTATTTCCTTGTGCGAGGTTCCTGGCAAATCCTGTTCCTGGAAAAAGAACATACTGGATATGCCCACCTGTATAATTATATATGCATCTCAGAGGTTTTCATTTTTCAGGCAGCTGGGGAACAGAATCAATTATCCAGCTTAATTTCTCTGGAACAGTATAAACCCTGCTATAACAGCTTAAGGAGAACTCCAGTGTGGTGCTGTATGGCAGGCTGAGATGAACCAAGAATGCAATTTCCCTTTTCAGGCACTGCTAATTATTCTCGACAGCTCTCTATAAGTAACTGGAAATCAGCCTTTCATTGGTTAATACCAACAAATATGTAAGAATAAGCAAATTTCTACCTCTGAACCAGCCATACTACTACTCTGTTAGTTTGATTTTTAATAGCATGATAACTACAGTTGGCTAAAGTAGTGAGAAGAGTGGGAAACTCAGGGTAGGAGTGATAACTAGCTCTGCATTTCAATGGCCTGAGGGTTTTAGGAAGGTTTTTATGCAGTTCAGACTAATGATACTAAACCAGCAATGGAAGCTATTTACTTGGGCAGGTTTCCCTTCAGAGCAAGTGGAGTAATGGCTGCATCAGTCTTCAGCATCCAAAGGTTACATGGATCCCACTGGTTTGTTTTCAAAGACTTTGCATCTCCAGCCAGCAGAGCTATGAATATTGCATTAGGCACAGGCAAACAAACCCCTTCTAAAATCAGACCTGAGTTCCAGGGAGATGGAATGCTTTGTCTCAGGAATTATCCAACAGAGGACTCAGCAGAAAGTGTCTCTCAGCGCACCAAGAATTTGGCTCAGGGAACAAAGTTCTCCAACGGAGTTTTGCCTCTCTTGGTACTTTGTTTTGCCACCAGCTGGACTGGGGCTGTGACAGAGATTCTTTGATACCCATTTTGCAACAATATTGTGCTGAACAATCTGTCTGTAAGTGGTGTAGGCCATTATTGGTTACACCAGTGCAACTGGTTCTGTGAGGAAGTTCTGCTTAAAAAGACTGAAACCACTTCCCTGTCTCCCAGGAAGAAGCTCAGGTGTGGACAGAATTCCATGTCTAAAGTTCAACATAAAAGGTATAAAACTGAACTGGTATTTGATATTAATACCAATATACTGATCTAAATAATAACTGATGTAACTAATATAAATGATTTAACTTGGAGTGTTGACTCCCTTCTGAATGAGACTGAAAGCTGCACGTGCCTGTCCCCAGCCTGTTCCCACAGCAGACAGAAGGGAAAGACAGTTAATGCCAGGAAAATATTCTAACACACCATTAGCCTTTGACATCAGCACAAGGTACAAATGCTTACATAAAAACATTGACCAAGCCACACAATTAAGCAGAGAGACATAAAAGGAAATGGTGATTCTTTTTCCTTATTTTATTGGGTAAATGATTTAAAAGGTAATAACAATAGTGTTAAAACTACTACAATATCTTTCCACAGCCATATCTCACAGACCCACAGATAACCTTCTAGCATTTTTTTTTCTTTTTCCTCATTTTTCTCTTTTTAAGCCGTACTTATATTAAATGCCCATTTCAACAGTTTCTTCACACTAATAGCAATTAAATGTGGAAGGAAGGAGGATCTAGTTATAAAGGAAGGGGGTTCAGGTAATCTGTGATATTATTGTAATCAATCAAGTTGCTAAGGAAGGAAGGAAAAGAGTGAGGCTTTACAAGCTACTCCAGGTAGCTCTAAGCCCCCTGTGTGTCACCATGGCATTGAAGATAACTCAAGATGCTGGTGAACAATTTAAAGTAATTTTTTTTTCTTTTTTTTTTTATAACATATAAAACGCTAAAATAACTTAGAAACTAGATCCAAATATCTTGAAAAGAATCAACTTTGATATACAAAAACAGTCATAAGTTGTTACAAAAGTTTCAAACAAAAGTTTGTTTTCTCAGTGCGTTTATGTACCAGCGCAATTACTGGGTCCAGAGCAAAGAAAGAGGTTTATCTTTTTTATTTTTTTTTTTCTTTAACAGTAATAAAAAAACGAGGAAAACATATCTTTGTATATAAAGAATCATTGCTGGTCTTAAGAATAAATGTAACCAGAAACCCTTAAATCTGAGAGGCACACTTTGGGTTTCTCTTTTTTTTTTTTTTTTTTTTAAACCTTTTTTTTTTTTTTTAACATAAAAGGAAAGTCACCAGTTTATTTAAATGGAGGAGATACTCAGACTCCCCAAATAAACTTAATTAACATCACTAGCAAAAAATCAGTTAGAAACTGTACAAAAATAAAAAAGTTAACACATTTAATCCTGCAGGGATTCTCGTAAGGACTGGAAGGCAGGCTTTAGGAGCAGCATTTGGGCATGGCTGGAGGCTTCTTTGGTTCGATCTAACACACATAAGAGATGTAACCTACTCCAGACAACAACTTTAAAAACCCGCACGGTCCAAGACAAGTAGAGAGGTCGGTACACAAACACCAGGTGTGCAGTGGCTGTGCCCCCCTGGGCTCCAGAGCGGCTCTGAGGGCAGGCCCGGGCTGTGGGAAGGCCACTCGAAGCAGTGCTGGGTAACAGCTGCTTCACCTCGAGTCTACGGTTTTGGTTGTCTATCTCAGTTTACAGAACAGGGTTTTTAGGAACATTGAGCAAGAGAATGAAAAAAAAAAAAAAAAGCCCCCAACGATCTCCTTATTGGAATAAGGCAAACTGAGTAGTGCTCATAAAAAAATCAGCATTTAACTTAATGAACAGTGAAATACAAGCTACTTGGTTGTACCTTAACCTCTATAAAGTACCCCAAATGAAAAACAAATCTGTAGCTAACCCCAACAATACAACTGAGAGGTACTTAAACATAACTCCAAGGGAATGACATTTGTGAGAGCAATTGTTGATCAGCTCTAAGCAAACAGACCTATTCTGTGCCAGTGCATGTCACAGTGAGCTGCACGTTTGGTACAAAGAAACCCACAATTACACAGAAACAATCTGCAGCAGTTTCAGCACCGTGTGCTGAGGAGGTAGGTGCCCTAGAAACACTGTAGGTAGACTGATTATTCCAATCTTCAAGAAAAATATCATACAATCTGATTGACCGCAGACTCTGTAACAGTTTTTTAATTAGTGATACAAAACTCTGGTCCAGAAGGGTCTGGCATGAGCTCGGTTCAAAAGCACACCTTTACAGTTTGTGTAACACCCTTGAACTATATTTTTAAGCAACAGCTACTAAGAGATAGACAAAAATGCATTGTGCATTATGCTGTGTACAAAAAGGAGACAAAACTATCCTTTTCTCCCCCAAGCCATGGTGGGAAGTATTGCTGACCTTGTCCTTAAAAACCTGCAGGATTGTTTATTCATCAGTATATCATTATTACACTGGTAAGAAATTCTGTATAACATCTGCATATATCGAAGATTTTTTAAAAAATCTGATATGATTTTTAGATCCGCATGACCAGTCACGTGACCTTCTTGAGGTTGATTAGCACCTTTCAATACATATATATTTTTATATATAATAGATCTTTTTAAAAAACTTCTAACAATGAGCTCATGCAGAAGCACGAGCGAGCTGTAACGAGATGACAGATAAAGATGGGGTTGAATGACTTTTTTTTTTTTTTTTTTTGCAGCAGAATGATTCAGTTTGTGCTCAGGTTCCCTATAAGGGCAAGAAAAAAAAACAAAACAACACAACTCTATCAGGTAGCCACTTGTTCACATTTCCACTTGAAGACTAAGTCATCTAAAAGTGTTCCCCAAGTAGAAACAAGACAACAGTATTATCATCCAAAATAGCCTCTGTATAAACATCTACTAATTTTTGCAGCTTCTGGCTGGCATCTCTTGGCTCCTGAAATTTCAGGCCCTCCGCTTATAAATTAAGGCATCGCAACTGAAAATGGTAATATTTGGACATAAATGCTGTGGATGAAGGAACACCAAAGACCTTCTACAAGAACCTCCATAGAAATTAAGTGGCAGAGCTAACCTTGCATAAGGGATGAGCATAATTTATCCTTACCTGGTTTTGAAACCCTACTGAAACATTTTTACAGTTCGTCCAATCTTTTTTAACAACTGAATTTTAATGGATTTTCTCTACTTGAATTTTATATCTCTCTATATTTACATTCATTATTCAAAATAACTGGAATTTCTGTTTCCTGTGGTTTACTAACACATATCAGGAAGGTCTTTTCTGTACCAGACACCTGTGCTGTCCCCTAGAACACACACCGAGCTGCAACAGCAGCAGTGGGAGCTCTGCAGGCACAGGAGGAAGGAGTGAGCTCCTGCCATCGACTGGGCTT